AACTCTCAGTACATAAGTTGGAGAGTTAACAAGGTCTCTCAGTACGTTGGCTGAAAGCCACACGTTATGCATTTGATTAGGTTTAACTATGCTAGATAGTTAAAAAGATACATTTACCCCTAGGCGGCTTGGCCGCAATAATAGTAAATAAAACACTTCTGGTTTTGAAGCATAAAAGTTAAGGTGTTAACTTTGAGCCCTGGTCTTGGGCTGTAAGTGTCCTTTGGATAAGGAACTTAGTATCAGTGACTCTTTGAGTCGAACGTCTTCCTCTGACGCTAAAGCTACGGCAGCCCCGCTGCACCAAACGTCATACGCATGTACGATGGTACGTAATTTCTCCACATGGTCCGGCGGGAAACCACAGCTCACAGCACGATCAATTAATTTCTCAACGGCAGCGAAAATATCATTGTCACCACCAATAGAAACTGAATCATTCACGTGCACTGGCATTTCGTCGGCCTCCAATTCAGTCAGATCACCGGCCATCTCATCATCTCCGCGACTCGCCAGCTGCTCCAGTTGACGGTCCACGTCGATCCCCAATGCTGTCAAGAGATCGTTACCGACGTTGAACTCGTCATCATTCACGTCCACCACGAAAGCTTCCACGAGATTCATCGGTTCCACCGGTCTCACTGCCGTGTGGATGCGTACTCGTATTTTTGCCATCTGCGTTGCTGTCACTTTCTGGTCACCGAAAGTCTGTTTCTGCACAGGAACCTCGAGTTGCTGGACTTGAATATCGGGATCCAACATCCGTAACTTTTCCCAGTGCGAACGGCCAATAACAGTGTAGTCCGAACCACTATCGGGGCAATATGGCAGCTCAAATACTCCATTAAGCAATACAGTACGCGCAGCAGTCGGTAGGAGTTCACCAAGTCGCTTGGTATTTGCCTTCTTGGACTTCCGTCCATTGCGAAAACGTTTGAGCAGTTCAGCTTTCTCCACTTCGGTCGCTACAGGGCACTCCCGTAGCCAGTGCATCTCATCGCACTTAGGACAGGGTCCTGGCGGCGGTCTTGGCTTGTTCAAGAATTTGGACTTCGGGTTTGACCCGGCGATAGTCTTCTGGTCAGCCTTAGCCGCAGTCTGTGTTTGGTCCCTTTAGTTCTTTGTCTTAGAAGTATACTTGACCTTGGGCTTCTCTTCGCCACCCCAGGCCTCACGTCTCTGACCCTTGAGACGGATGTGCTGGCGTTCCAGCTCGGTCGCCTTCTCCACGATGAGCCGGAACAACACCTTGGGGTCTTTCTCGGCTTCAGAATGCGTAGAGCGGATACACTACTTTACCTCCGTCTTGAGTATCGGTGGCTTCAACGCTGAGGTCAACATCTTGCACTTCTCACGTTTCCCACGCTCAAAGACGAAACACTCGCTCAACCCATTGTCGTCGACGATGGTCTTGAAACACTTGAAGTAATCCACGACGCAAGCAGTCACGTCACTCTCCGCCCGATTCATCTTGAGCTCCTTCTTGAAAAGGCCCTTGATATCAGGCAGCGCCTTATTCTTCACACTAGCCATGATGTGCTCGATTTCAGCCGTTATCATTCCTTCTGTCACTCCACCCATTGACTGCAATGGCAGCCACATCCGGGCGAAGTTGCCCCAGCCCGAGTCCAGCTGCAGGTGAAACCAAGGTGAAACCCCAGCACACACTACAGTTGTTTGAAAGCTAAAAGCGATTTTTTTGGAACGAATCAATCTGTGTGAGGCTGTCCATACAACTCTTCAATTAATAAGTATCATGCAAGCAAAAGAGGCGCACTAAAGGGTTAAAGACACACATTCCTCTAGAGACCGCTTTTTATTCTCATCCAAGGGGGATTTTATCGCGGGTTGATACTTTGCCAAAGTAAAGGGATTACTACCGATGGGATTGCCTGTACAGTTGTCGTCGGGTTCATTCTTCAAATGAATCGCTTGCGCACCATCTTCAAAACTACTCAGGTATTTCAATTGCATTTTTTGAAACTGGTTGAAAGTCATATTCATAGAGGAGCTTCGACACGGCAGATACAGCGGCTGCGAAGCAGGCGCAGGGGATGCTTTGGCGCAAGAAGCCCCAATTTTTGGACTCGCTACGTCAGATTATTTTGCATTTGTGGTGATGTAATTTTTTTTTAATTTGTTTAGGAACATGAACAGGTTGGGCTAAGATAAGCTTGCCTAATTTTCTTGATTTTTAAATTTTTGTACATCTTTTGAGTAATAAAATACTTACGCGGCTGCGAAGAAGGCTTTGCTACACATGAATAGGCCGAGTAAGAAAAGCAATCCAATGCACCCTATTTCTTTTTTTATACTTAAATTTGTGCTTACAGCATGTGAAGAATATGGCACACTCACGCATCTACTGCGGCTGCTTCACAGCCGCTTTATGGATACTGTTTTAAAAAATTTCTGAGGCATGCTTTCGACATTTTTTTTCAGACGCATTAGACATAGCCGGCATCATTTCCTGCCGAGTGAATTAGATTCATGAGTGTACCGGTTCGGGCTACCGGATTCGGTAACCGGCTCATTTGTCTGGGCTGTCCCAGCAGCACTTTCCCAGAATAACAGCTCATTACGACATTTGAGTACCCGCAGTTAAAAGTGGAATTTCGGAATCCGAGATTCCAGTCGGATGGTGCCAAGCTTTCTAAGAAGGCTTGTTGACGCATGATGATGTCCTGCGCTATGGCTAAAACCCAGTACGAGTCTTATTGTGGCTCTGAGATTCTGTGCCATCTTTTTCATACGCAGGATCTAAAATGACTCGCTGAAGTCAAAACCAAAGGCTGTCTGGAACCGCCATTTCGCAATACAGTTCAGCGTGCTTCGCTTGTACTTTAAATAAATATAAGTCGCTGGCAAAACTTAACACAACGCTGGTCGCATTTACTATCGCACAGTCTACTAGATGCACACAGCAAAAGGTGCTCCTAAACTACCTACTCAGTCGTTTGATCTTGCGGTGTTGAATGACAGCAGCCACTCACTCTACGTTGTGAAGCCCGCGCATCCAACCTAAAAAAAAACAGGTAAACATGATAAAGACCGATGTGATGCCGTGCAAACGGTTTTAAGGAAAGCCGGACGAAAATTCTGCGTTTTTTTAAAACATGTCCAAAAGCAGTTCAAGAGCTATTGTAAATTAAAAGGGCATATATAGAATACAACTTAAGCTTAAATTAATGTTTTGGTTTGTGTAAAAAGAGAAAGAAAGAAAATTATGGCTCCGCGTCGAAAGGCAAATGGAGTAGCACGAAACGAACAAGAAAGCAATCTGCAACCGTGTAAGCTTATCGGCGCGCTGGATTGTAAAATACGTCATTTTGGGCTCCTGGTCACAGGTTTAAGCTGGATAGCTTTAGCACCGAACCTACACTAAATTTAGTACTTCGAAGTACGAGATTATTTAACCCTTTAAGACCTGAGGTCGTCTTAGAGACCCTGCCAGGGCCTCCAAAAATGTAGCCAATAAGATTAGCGTATTTCGCAATTTCTACCAATGACTTATGGTCATTTACTATAGTGGTATCTTTCTGGTCGAGATAGAGTCCCAAACTGGGACTCTTAGAAAATAAAGAGACAGGGCACGACAGAAGGGACTGGCAAACGTTCTATAAATGTATATATAGCCAATCGTATGCTTACGTAAGAGGCCCCCTGAGGGACTTTAAGGCTTAGGTCCTAAAGGGTTAATACCGAAACTGAAAAGAGTGTGGAATAACCCCATTGGCGGCAACTTTAGAGGTGCGAATGGCGATAAACGCTGTATACTGGTTTTTCTTTCTGATTCATTGTCATTCATCACTTCCGACTCTGCTGATGCTTCGTCACATTCCAGTGTGCTTATGAATCTCTCGTAAATACCTTACACAAATTATCTCTTTGGCCAGGCTCATGGTGGCCTTGAGCACCGACGAGGAGACATACCGGTTATTTTACATGTACATGGTATTATTTGTGCACCAGCGTAGACACCAACATGAAGGCAATTGTCGACTTGTCGACAGCCTTGAAGCAACAAACTCGCGTTACCAATGTTAGGTATCGTACAGGCGATGGAGTGTCTCGAGTTTCGTCCGCCGTCAGGGCATTTGCCTTCTTCGCTGCGAAGTATTGACGAGTGTTTCTCTCTTCATAGTGCAAACCAACTGCTTCATGTCACCAGCATGAACGTGGCTGCTAAGCTATCTGTGGCACGCTGCATACGTACATACTGCGCCACAGCAAATAAACACTCCGACCCATCTACTTATCTACGCGTAGATGGGTCGCGACCGATACAGGCGAGGGCTACACGAAGAAAAGCTTCCGACAGAGCAGAAAAGCACGTTTAATCTTCCGCCGAACTGATGAAAGGCACACCGCACTGTATGATACAGTGCGGTGTGCCTTGAGTCAAGGTGACGACGCTGATACAGTGTATCAGCGTCGTCACCTTGACTCAAGGTCCTCAGAAGAAGCCGATGATGTTGAAGTTTCAGCGCCCATTCGCGCACAAACGAGACATTTGCAAAATCTCAGCCAATCATTAACGCCAAAAGTGGACATTCAGTCGCTACCGCTACATGTGTAGTGACTTTTTAGCGCATATTCCGCCGTCACCTTTTTACCGGGACGCACGCCACATCGTCTATCTGGGCCAGATTCTGGCCAGCCGAACCAACGCGAATTTAGCCGCCGCAATGAGAGTTGGCAGCGTTAATTACATGTAAAGCTTAAGTTAGCAGGAATATTTCAGCTCGTCGGACTTGGACATTACATCTACGTGTATAATTCATTTTCAGGTGTTATAATTTAGGACGACTCAGTTGGCTTTGCTCTGTCCACACACAGATACAGGAACTGTACGAGCAGCAAAACGCAAGACACGGTGCCCCGAACAGTCTTTGCTGGCTCTCGTCACCAGATGGAAGTGCTGCCTGCAAGTCGTGCGTTCGTAGGCCCGGATAGGCGGGTCCCCAGTCGCGTTGTTGGCCTCTCCATTCAGGAATTCTCCCCCACGCTCTTGCATCTCGTCCGTCGAGATCAGCAACAGCGTACAGACTTGTCGACATGGTCATGCAGACGCTCTCGCGCGCCCTCATGGGCCTCGCGCTGCTTAACGGAGTCGCGCGAGGATTCAACGTCTACGTGAGCAACAAGTGCGATGAGAGCATGACGCTGGCTCACGTGACGCCCAACGGCGTGCAGACCGAGCAGGTGGCGGCCGGAGGCTCCACCACCAAGTCTGTCGCGCCCGGTTCGGCTTCGCACGTGTTCAAGTGGGGCACCGGCGCCCAGGCTACCTGTACGTAGTGCTATTGCAAATACAGCCACCCGTCACCTAAACGACATAGTACTAATAATTTCTGCGCTACAGTGGCCGAATTCTCGGGTGAAATGGGCATGTGCTGGTACGACATCAGCTGCATCCCTACCGGTCCCAAGAGTGGCGTAAGTAGCACGTTCTCTGTTGGTGTTCGCGTAACATGCTAACGTTGTGGTGTCTTGCAGCCCGAGTACTGCTCTAGTCTGCAGGAGTGCAAGGACCTCACGGGCGGTGTGGGCTTCAACAAGCCCATGCAGATCACGCCGCACAAGCAGGACGGCGGACGTTGCGTCGAGCTCACGTGCATGGCCGACGGTTGTCAGGATGCCTACCTTTTCCCTAAGGACGACACCAAGACGCACACGTGTCCTTTGTCCACGGACTTCGACCTTACGTTCTGTCCTGGTGGATCTGGAGGCTCCACGCCAGCTCCGACACCGGCCCCGACGCCCGCTCCCACGCCGTCTCCAACGCCGATCCCTACGCCGTCCCCCACGCCGACACCGACCCCGACTGCAATGCCTACGCCGAACGAGGAACAGCAGCAACAGGAGGAGCAGCCGGAGCAGCAGGGTCAGCAGTCGGCTTCGGCTTCAGCTGGTTCGGCCGGTCAGAACCAGAACCAGAACGAGGACCAGAAGCCCAAGTCCGGCTCTGGCTCAGACACCGAGGCTGGCGTCAAACAACTGCGTAAGGTCGACGCCGAGAGCGTGCAAAGCCCCACGACGCAGCAGACGCAGCCAACGACGGAGACGACGGACAGCGGCACTCAGCAGATTGGCGGCCAGACTCCTGCTGCCGCGTCGAAGGAAGGTGAGGTGCAGCAGATCAACAACCAGGCCTCGGGGGGCGGCGCTAACGGTACGCCGTACATTGTGGTGGGCATCGGCTGCTTCGTCGGAATGGTGGCCGCTGCTGCCATCTTTGTGGTGCGTAAGAAGAAGGCGGCGCTGGATGACCTGGAGACCAAAACTCCCGTCTCGACGACGGCCCACGGCGCGCTCGCTAACTTCCGCACTCCTCGCGACAACGTCAGCGTGCTGTAAGTAGGCGACGCAGCAGTTTTGGATGTGGACATACACACTTTTTTATCTGTAGATACGGTAGCTAGCTAGTCGCGCGAAGTGGAAGCGCTCCAAGTGGCTAGCGACGGATTTTGGTCATACAATCCTCGTGTGTGTGCTTTTTTGTGTTGTCCGACAAACCTTGCCCGTGATGGCATCCAAAATAGCTTACCAGTAGTTTTTTCCTACTTTTTCACATGACGGTGTCAGCGATCGAGAAGACTGCGGCCATGGCGCCTACAACGGATACAGAAGATGAAGAAGTGCCCTCAGAGGGCGAAGGCGCTCTGCGGCGGAAGTCTCTTCTGTCCAAAGCGAGCGGTTCTCCAACAAAAGTTTATCCCGGACTAGAACACACTGCTCTCGAAACGAAGGCGAGCAAGTATACGAAGTCTGAGATGCAGTCGAATAGTAATATCACTCCTAGGACCAACCACGATTCAAACCCCGTACTACTACCGAACATGCTTGCAGTGGTAGTACTTGCCTGTCTGTGCTGGACGCTCTGGTTGATCTTGCTCAACATTGCGCCGAATGACACCGTAAACCATGTTATGGACACTTCAACTTTCGACTATGGCTCTTTCTGGCTAATGGTCGATCCACCGATGTCACTGATGATCGCCGCTACGCTCGGTCTCGTTATGGTAGCTGTCGGCTATCTTGGTGTGCTCATCAAGTTGATTCCATGTCGACGAAGCTCAAAGCAAGCGTATTTGGTCCACCAAGTGCCAGACACGGATGCGTTCATGAAGAAAGTGGAAAGAGCTTTGGATGACGCCGCCACGAGACCTCAAAGCGGGAAAATCACTTCGACTATCGTGAATTTTGCTGCCGCCCGAAAGAAAAATGGGCGTACGTACACTGCTGCGTCAAAAAGCTTTACGTATTAGTGTTCATTTTCGTCCTGTGTTTTAGAAATTATTGGTGAAGTTAGGGGATTTAGCTTTGGAAACGTTTCTACTCTACCAGATGCTCGAGTCTGGTTCCCCAGCGGTGCTTGTAGTAGTTTTCAGTGTTGTTGTGGCCTCTAACGCACTGATCTGTGCTGTCATGATGTACATTCCGTACGAGCGAGCACCACGCGCAGAAATATTCATCGACATTCTGTAAGTATTATTCCTCTTCTTTTTTTAGAAATGTGGTAATTTTCACAGATTAATTATTGCTGCAGATTTGACTTTTTGATTGCCATCGCTTGTCCGATGCTGACGATTGCCTACTGCCTCTCCACCTTCACGTTTGATCGAGAGAAGTTTGCCATAAACCTTCGTGTGTTTCCTGCTGGCTGGTTCGAGCAAAGCGCCAGCGTCGTAGCCGACCCCGTACAGACTGCTGTGATCTACAAAAGTCTTAAGTCATTACGCATCATGTCAGTTATGGATTTCTTTTCTCGCTTAGGAGTCAATGACACTCTGTGCTTCAGACTTCGCAGCGTAGTGGATCTCATTCATAATTCTAAGAAACAGCAGAGCAGTGTGTACTGGGTGCTGCTGCTCTGGTGATTTTTACGGCGATGCTGACAGTTTTCTTCGAAGAAAGCATGTGAACGTCTTCTCTGGCGTGTGCACCTCATCCTGAGTGTGTGGTGAAGGCAAGACGGTGGGTTATTGTGGAACATGGCTCACTAACGCAGTGTCCATGCTTGACAATGAGCGATCGTGATATCGCACCAAAGACGTTCGCAGAGTGGCAAAACCCGACGAATGTAACTGAGAAAGTGGCACAACTGGCTGCAATAGGGGATCTCCAGACTATTCAAATAACGAACCGCTACCTTGCACAGCTACCAGAGGAACTGCGACTCTGTAAAGACCTTAAACGCTTGTACGGTAATGTTAGCTGTGAAAAAGCGTGAGCGAGATGGCTGACTCGTTATGGCGATGTGTGGACAAGGTCACTCGAGTACACACACACTCAAGTGTTTCCAGCGTGGGTTAAAGAGTTCACCAAGCTCGAATATCTGTAAGTATCTTAATGTAGTTTTTCTTGCGTGCTCTGTATTCCTAAAAAAAACAACTAAATGACCTACAGACATTTGGAGAGCAAATTTACGAGCCCAATGATAACGGACGCGCCCGAATAAAAGCCCCCTACCGAATAGTGTCCTGACAGGACACTAGGACTCCTGTGGGGTGCTACATGCCTGCACTATTAAATACAAGCCTCTCCCGAATAGAGTCCTTATAAAAGCTACCAAATCTGCTATTACAAACTTGCTGACCATCCATTCTACAGAGAGAAACACTTTTCCGTCATTTCCAATAATGCCTCATCAAAGGCAGTCGGTTAGCAGTGAGCGTAAGCAAGAGGTGATCAAGTGGACTAAATATGTCGTTTAAGGACCTACTGTACATGGAAATAACGCTTGGAAAGAGTCGGACCGAGTCGAATGCACTCGCTTTGGTAGCCCACGTATGCCAGTGTTGACACCGTTTGCCTCCGCGCGTGGCGAGACACGGATGAGGCAACAATCATGCGGAGCGCTGAAATAGCAGGCTTCTCGAGAGACCCCTCGTCGTGGTTTATATCCAAGCACGATGTGATCGGCGCTAAATTTCGTGAAAAGTGGTCGAAGGAACCGCACATGGACGAATACGTCGATCTGTTAAATCCTTTAGGGTTAGATGATGCGTTAGACGATATTAACCTGGCACACTAATCATATCAGCAAGGAATAAAGTCCTCACCCGTTTAAAGTCCTCTCTATCACTTTCGGCCGGCACTATTAAATATAGTCCGGACTCTAATAGGGCGCGTCCGTTAGTTTTACCCGACGACATGCATGTCTTCTCTCACGTTCATGCACCTCGCAGCGTTTATGACAATGACCGAATTGCCGTCATTTGAAGGTCTCAAGAACCTTCGGTCACTCACATTAGCATGCTTCCTCTCAATGGTAGAGCTCCCAGCATTCGACGATCTGCAGAATCTCGAGCGACTGGTTCTGGCTTCCATGCCAGCGATGGAAAGTCTGCCAGATTTCTCGCCTGTCGAAGATCTGAAGTCGTTCGCAGTATCGGATCGAGGCGCTTGGTGCTGCAACGGATTCATCGGAGACTGCAATCTGAATGATCGCAAGTGTGGGGTAGTGCATCCAGTATGGGGGAACCCGGCAGTGACTTGCTTAACTCTTAATCGCACCGAGAAACTGACTGCTACTGCAACACTAAAAGTGGTCGACAAGTTCTCGTCCACCATCTGTGGTCCTGTACTTGAAGCTGGTGTATTGGAGGGTCCACCAACAGAGGACCTCATGACTCCATGCAATGGGATAATGTATCGACAGTGTCCAAGAATGATGAACGGCTTATTATGTGCTCGTTTCATTTTATGTAAACATTTTAGTGTTCGTACAGTACATTTTAATAAATAGTTTATGTGAGAAATAATGGATAAGAATTTAGGAATAGCCTGGAAAGCCTAATCCGATAAGAAAATATAATATTCTTGTGCCTTTAGGCCAAAATGCCGTCCGATTTAGGGCCTCATTAACCCTACCATGGATGCCAGTAAAGCTTAGACAGTAGCATAAAATAAAAATTACATTACTTTCAGTGAGGCAGAACAATCTCTTCTATTAATAGCCTAGCAATTATCGAACTACAGTGTGATATCAAGTACTTAAAGAAAGTTCTACACGCCTAATAATGTTTTTTTTGTTATTTTATGCAGTTAGCAAGTCATTTAAGCTCTTCGTACCTGTATCACTAGCTCTACCCATTTAAGCCAGACCTCTTGAGCAGGTTGTACGAAGGAGGAAATGGCCAGCAAAAATTGGTCATTCGGACTTTATTGTCATGAAAGGCCCCTACGTAACATCAGGGGCCTTACGTTGGATTTGTGGCTGCCAAGAAATCGATTTTACCATCATTACATCAAATCTTAGGAGTAGCCCTACCCTTTCCCTCTTAGAACCTGTTGAAGTAGCCTCTAAACAGTTTGATTACCTTGACCTAGTCACTCCAAAATAGTATAATGTTATTTAGGAGGTCCTGTTTAAGTCGGTATGACTGGCTTAAACTATACAGACACTAATGGCTGGTGTACAGCTATTGGTGGCTTCCTAATACTAATAAAGTACTCACTTCGTATTTTGACGCCTACAAGTAACGTCTTCTTCCTCTCCCTACTTCTTCTCGACCTGTCATACGAGTTATAGGTTATGAGCCCAAGCCAAGCCTCAAGCGACGACTTCCCACGTCTCATCGGCGCCGAGAATTTCGACGTCTGGAGTGCGCAGCACTAGATGGCAAGCACCTACTCGGCTACGTGAAGCAGCCCGACTACGACGGTGTGTCGGAGGACGAGAGTGAAGACAGTGGCAGTGAAATGTCTGATGCCAACGATGAACCGCATGCCAAAACTACCAAGAACGTCGAAATCGACTCCGACGCTGTGGACTACGACGAGAGCGCTCAAGCCGCCCTCGGACTCGGATGAAGACTCTGGAGCCAGCTCCGATACGTCAATCAAGAGGAAGGACCTCCTGGTAGTTCGACCATTTAGCCATCGCGAGGCTCGCCGTGCACGCAAACGCGCCAAGAAAGAGAGGAGCCAGCCTCTTAGCCAGCGCGAACGCCGTCGACAAGAAGCCAAGACCAAAGCCTTCTTGATGAAAACGATGGACAGCATGCACGTGCGGCTCGTCAAGAATCTCACGACATCCTTCGAGATTTTCAGCTACATCTGTCAGAAGTACGAGGGAGCAGCCTTTCATGGTGATCTGTACTTCATTCAACACTACTTGATGGAGATCAAGTATGAGGAAGGCTTCAACTTAACTGAGTTCTTTCTCAAGCTTGAGAACGCGATGAAAGCCGCGTCAGAAGCCACCGAATCGGTGATAACCGAGGGACAGAAGTCTATCTACCTGTTCCACTCGATGCCCAAGTCGTGGAAGGACGATCTCCGCATCTCAAAGGGCCAGCGGAAGTATATCCCGTATGAAGACCTCAAGCAGAGCATTGAAGGCAAGGTTCGCGATCTTCAAGCTCAAGAGCGCTACACCTTGGCCAAGGGCACACCAGAGTCCTCTGCAACCAAGGGTGAGAGAGCTCTAGTGGCTACCGGACCTCCTGTGTCACAAGCCCAAGGCCGTGACAGCGCCAATGTCTGTTCCTACTGTGATCGCCCACGCCACAACATTCGCCAATGTCGAGGCCTTCAAAAGGATTTGCGAGATGGACGAGTGAAGGCTGGGACAGTGCTACCTGCTAACTTCGCCTTCAAGGGTAACTCGAAACGCGATCACCTGTACCAGAACTCGAACAAAGGTGGCAATGGGCGACACGGCAAGAATAATAACAACCGCGACTTCAAGGGCAACAACAGTAGTAGCAAGAGCAAGCACGGAAATGGCGGCAAACAACGCGGTCAAGATCGCTACAAGGACCGCCCGCTTAAGTCAGACAGTGACGATGACGACGACAGTGATTCTGAAAACAGCCGCAAGGTAACTCGCCAAGGACGTCGTGACACCGTCTCATCGCTGTTGCTACCACAGTCAATCTCCCGTTTAGCCTCACTGCTCAAGCCAAGATAGAACCCGATCCCACCTGGACAATCGACTCTGGCTGTACTCGACACGTCACCCATGAGTCTCAGTGGCTTACCGACATCACCTCCAGTGGTGGATCCATTACGGTTGGTGGTAATAACCAAATCCCCATCGAAGGCATTGGACGGGTCGATCTGGAAGTCACTGACTCCAAGGGCACTATGCAGAAGCTTATCCTTCATGGCGACCTGTATGCTCCCCAGCTCCAATTCAGTTTGCTTTCAATTCCAGCAGCTGTGAAGCACGACTTTCGCCTCAACTTTGACCGCAAACAGTGCTCTATGCAAACTGACCAGCGCTTCAAGATCAAAGCGCTCATGGCCACCAACACGTCTGTATCAGTTCCAAGCCAAACCAGCGGCACCTCCAGCGGCTCTTATTGCCTCAGGAGTCAGGCCATACATGGACTCGATGGATCTATACCTCTAGGTCCAAAGACAGATTTCTTTTGTGTTGCCTGCACGTTAGCGAAGTCACACCGCTCCCCAATTTACTCTAATAGAGTTGTTAAACGTGCTACATCACCTTTGTCAAAAGTCCATTCAGATATCTGTGGTCCACTACCTGTGCCTAGCCTTACTGGTTGTCGCTACTTCTTGATCTTCATCGATGACTTTTCTCGATTCATGTTCACTTATGCAATTAAGAACCGTAGCGAGTTGTATGGCTGTTACGAAGACTTCAGGAAGAAAGCCCTGAATATTTTCAGACAAGATATATCTGTCATAGAGTACCGTTCAGTGTTGAAGACAATGCAAACCAGGGTAACTTTGAGATTCAGCGGCTTCAAGCAGACAACGCTAAAGAGTACGAGAAGCTTGGCCGCATCATATTTAAAAAGTATGGAACTCACGCCCAGTTTACCAATGCATACACACCTCAGCAAAACGGAGTTGTAGAACGCCGCATGCGTACCATTATGGAGCGTGTCCGAGCCCTTCTACTTGACGGCAAGCTACCGAGGCAGTTATGGGCCGAGTGTGTCTGTCATGTGACCACTCTCATCAATATGACTCCTAGCTCCAAGACGGATGGACGAACCCCGTATGAGCTTTGGCACAACCGTATTCCATCCATGCAGTACATCAAAGTACTCGGATGCAGCGGATATGTCCACATCACGGAGCAATACCGAGACAAACTCGACGCTAGAGCCCGTTTGTGTATGTATCTTGGTGTGCCTGACCATAAGAAAGGCTACCGTCTGATGGACATCAATACTCATGCAATTATCTACAGTCGTGATGTAGTCTTTAAAGAGGAAGAATTTCCCTCTCTCACAGGCCTGACGTCTACTCCAGAGCCCACATAGTCCACGAATCGGCTACCGCTACACTTGCACCTGTACCTCTGCCACCTGCAACTGCTACTACAGTAGCACCGGAGCCTGAACATGTGTCAGAACCAGTGATCACACCGTCATCCACATCAGGCCCTGCAATGACAACAGCGCCAGGCACAGTGAACCAGCGTGTACTGCCCTCACTGAGGGAGGCTGTTGATCGAACAGCCATACATTATTCTTTTCGAACAGAGACGGACTCTGATCCTCCGCATCATTCGACTCCTAAGCGACCCCGCCTCTCTGCGGAAGCCATTGATAGCTCTGAGGAAGCCAATGACGTAACCCTCAACTCTGAGGAAGACATACACGAACAGGAGCAACGTCAGCATTTACTGTACACATTACTAGCTATTCGGTATGTGTCTGAGCCCACTACGTATCGGGGAGCAATGAAGTCTTCCCACGCTAACCAGTGGCGTAAAGCAGCTAAATCGGAATACAAGTCCCTCATGGACAATCACACTTGGGTGTTGGTATCCCCTCCTAAAGGAAGGAAGATTTTAAGTAGCCGATGGATCTTTGTAGTAAAGTATGCCGGCACTGGCGAGATCGACCGCTTTAAAGCGCGTCTTGTGATCAAAGGATTCCTTCAGGAATATGGCATCGACTACAACGAGATATTCTCTCCTGTCATCAGGATAAAGGTACTTAGACTACTTCTTACTATTGCAGCTCTTCTCGACTTTGAAGTCCATCAAATGGATGTTAAGACAGCATTCCTTAATGGCTACTTGGAAGAGGAGATCTACATGGCTCAACCGGAAGGTTTCAAAATCCCGGGCAAGGAGCACCTAGTGTGTAAACTTCTTAAGAGCTTATATGGGCTTAAACAAGCGCCTCGTGTATGGTACCAAACCTTGTCTGCCTTCCTAGAGAATCTCGGGTTCCTGAAACTCATTAAAGATCGATGCGTATTTCGACGCACAGTTGCTGACATCACCTGTTACATTGCAGTGTACGTCGACGACTTACTGATCATTGCGCCTACACCAGCACTCGTCAGTGAGCTGAAATCAGCCTTGAAAAAGCGTTTCTCCATGTCAGATTTAGGGGAGGTGAAGTACTTACTCGGCTGGTCAATTCAACGTGACCGTAAAAACCGAACGATGTTTATCCACCAGCACAAGTACGCTACGAAGGTCATTGACCGCTTCAGCGACTACATTCCGTACCCTATTGCAACACCAGCAGAACGGAGCGCTAAACTTTCCGTAAGCAGCCAGCCCAGCAGTGAGCAAGAGAAAGATGCG